GCATCCTCCCACCAGGACGCTGCCAGATTGTTCTAGGCATTTTGTGTTTCTGATCCCGGACTGTTACCTTGGACTATTCTATTCTGCCTCGCCCTCTTGTTACGGACTGCCACGGTGTATGATTATCGGACTTTCCCTTTTGGACAACAAACTTTGGATTCCCCTGGATGTATGTGTTTGCTGGCTCTGACCTGGGACTGATACCGACCGTGAGTTTTGTGTTTCACCTTGTCTTGTATGGTTTTGTTTAGTTTTAGTTCTCTTATTAAAGAGACGGTTTTGTTCAACACTTCCTCGTCTGGCCTTTTAATTGAGTTCACTAAACACTTTTCGGCAGCATCGCGCGCCGTTTCTGACAGTTTGTCGATGTGCACATATGGCATCCTGCACATATTAATATATATAAATGTTGATTATTTTTTCCTCTATTATAATAGTGTGTTCTTGAACACACAGCTATACACATACACAAACTATCAATATACAAAACTGAATGTTACTGTACTGCTGAAGTATAGAAGGCATACAACCAGATGGTACAAAGACAGACACTCTAACAACTACAATACAATGTGTGTGTGTGTGAGAGAGAGTGAGAGTGAGAGAGTAAGAGATGCAATAAGAGAAAAAAGGGAGAAAAAAGAGACAGGAAGAAATTGAGACAGAAGGTCAGAATGTATGTTCTTCCACCTGTATTTGGAATAAATGTCTGCATGGGAGTGAAGGTTTGTGCATGTGTGGTAATATATTCTGTCTGACCCAGGAATGTCTGAAAACATGCTGTATCATATATCATGTCTTACAGTAAACCTTATACCAATGTAAAACTGCAAATCAGACATCAAACCCCCAAAGATTTATGGCAGCCTGTGTGTGCAAAGACAGTTTCATTTGCATTACACCAAAATATATGGCCATACAGGACACAGTCATCTTAAACGTCTCATGTTTTACATGTGGGAGAAAACCAGAAACAAATGACGTATTTGCTGACCAAACCTAACGTCTTGTGAAAAATGGCAATGGCAGCTTGTACAAAACTCACAGCAAGACAAGTAGCAGCTACCTGAAACATCTACACTTTTCACTGAGGGAGACAGAAAATACACAATAGCCCAAATATGTGGTAAGAACATCTTATTGCAGACCAAAAAAATATCATCTATTATGCAAATACAGAGCCTGAAAGTATTTGCACATTTTCAGTGTTGTCAGATAATCACATCTGAATGCCACAGTTCTTTATACGCTGCAGGCAATTCATGGGAGCATTTAAAAGAAGAAATTCTACTGTGTTTTGGGTGAGTTGTTTTTAATGAGACAAGAACAAGAATCTGACTAGACAGAGTGGAACGCAGTGTTAATCACACTCGGCCAAAAGTGAAGAGAACTGAAATGAAAACTGCTGGCCAATGCAGACTACCGTGCCAACAATAAATAAGTAATATCTTTAAAAACAATCACTATTTGTTGGGGGGGGGGGTCTTATACAAGACCTGCTACCAGAGATTTTATGATTTAAAGTGAAGGCAAAAACAGTGTTTATTTACTTGTTATGTAACGTGTATAGTTGTTATTGCACATGTATAGTTATAATACTGTCGGTCAACAGAACTGTCAATAAAAGAAGCAAAATCACAAAAATGTGATTTATCATGTTGGTGTAATCACAGGTTAATCTTACTGTATTTAACTATCCCATTTCGAAGTTAGACATCCAAGAAGATGATTTAAAATCACCTTTTGCTTCACTGTTATATAAAACAAGACAAAGACAACTTTGAACACATGATAATCACACAAGAAGTTTAGATTTTTCGGCCAGTATGCAACTTGGAGTTAGAATGGATGTGTTAAAAACTAAACTGATTGTGGAAAATGGATAAAAGTCAGAGAATTTAAATGATACTGTATCTTAGACTAGCCCTGTGATAGACTGGCGACCTGTCCAGGGTGGACCCCGCCTCTCGCCCAGACAACTGGGATAGGCTCCAGCCCCCCAGCAACCCTCATTAGGATAAGTGGTATAGATAATGGATGGATGGATGTATCTCAGACTGAATGTACTAGTCATAGATATTTGTCACATAACAGAACACTACACACTGTGGGCGACATTTATCTGTCACAAATCACACTGATGATGTAAATGAGCACAGTCGCAGTAGTGTTCATCTGACTACACCTCCACTTAGGATCTGCTGCCTGAAGGCTGTTGTTCATGTGTAGACCAAGACGGAGTGTAAAAGAAAGTTTAATTTTACAGCGACTGAACTTTAACATGGTTGAAGAAATCAACAAACATATTTTAGAACTGCAGTCATGTAGTCTTCTACAAGTCAAATCATCTTTTATATCATTCAGTAATTGAAGCGTGGTTTGACATGAAAGCCTATAAAGGTCCTTCACATTCTCCTCTGATGAATGATGCGATTTACAAACACCCTCTCCCCTCTTCAAACATGTTCTTAACTCTGGTGAGCTCTCAGCCGCCATGCTGACAGCAGGGCTGCAAATTTTACACCTGCTTTCTCCTGATGTTACATTTCAGCTACAGTTCTTCCTGTCGCAGTGGAGGTAAATCAGGTGCTGAGGGTATTTGTATACATTTTCATTCTCTCCTCCCTTATTTTTGAATCTCTGAATGGGAACACCTAAAAATACATGCAAATTCCTGTAGTGCACCTTTATTTGTCTCTGGAACAAAACCCCACTGCGACTTCTTAGTAAATATGAACATGCAATTTCACTGTTTAGTGCCTAAAAAAGAGCCACAAAACTTTAGTAAATATCCCCCAATGTATGTGTTACAGAAACATCAGAGACAATCATAAGAGTAACAATTTGGCCTCTGTCCTGCCACAGTTTAGGATATGAGATGGAATGAAATGGTTACTGGGTTTAATAGTGATGGTAATCACAACAAATTCAAACACACAAGTATGAAGGTGGGACAGTGAAGTCAAATGTACATTAGTGTTTGTTTCTCTGATCTGTATGTGTATGTACATGAAGTGAGAAAGCATGTGTGTGCTGTTATTTAAATAGTTATTATGGAGCCAGTATGTTTATAAAAAATTATGGTGGAAAGGTCTTGGTGCCAGTAAATCAGTCATGGTGTGCTTGCACATGTGCGCACACACATTCCTATATGGATACAAGACCATGTATTCTGGAGCATCGATACCTGTAATCATCACACGAATCATTACTACAGTAATGGACTTTGAGTGGACATGCTGCTGGACACACACATACATAAGCACACTCTGTCTCTCTGTCAAGAACAGAGAAATACAGCACTGGTAGGACAAAGTGCAGGAAATCTAAATCATAGCACATGCTCTCATTTCCCCATGATGCCACGGTAAACGATAGTCCCACAGTATGTTTAAAACAGGCAGGACATGCTAACTCAGACATTCTCCTTGGCTTCTATTTCAGATCAAAGAGTTGGTCCACTAAATTAGACCCCATTATAAGGTCTCATGAAGGACATAAAACAACAGAAAATGCATGGACTCATCAGGCTTCTGGACTCCTCTTTGCTGCACATAAAATCCAAACCTTTCTTTTAAAATTATTTTAAAATATAAACATGGTGTGCATGTGTCTGTGCATGCAATCAATCATATGAAGAGCTGGACAGTGGTACATGGTTATTGCATTAGCACACTCCTTACTTCTTTAAAGTGCAGAGAGAAAGAGAGAAGATAGAAGAAGAAAGGAAATGGAGAAGTAAGAGGAAAGAGAGCTGATGAGGTGTCAGGTCAACCACCTTCCTATAACACTGAAGCAGCATGGGAAACTATGGACAATATCAGAAAAGTTGCTAATTTCAGGTAAAGTGTTGAAGGTAGTGTCTAAGTTTTAAAAACTTATGAGTAGTTGATATCTGGCTTGAAATGTTACTGTGTATTTGGTTACTGGTGTGCCAAGAGGGAAGTATGCACATATGCACATTATAGCATGAAAATTAGTTTAAAATGTTTCATTTTATTTTAGTCTCCACTTGTGCATGAAATGATAGAAGATGGGGAAATAAATCAGTCAAGGAACCAATGAATGAAATAGACAGAAGGACATTTCTGGATATTTGGAAACATGAAATGACCTACAGTAAATGTCTGACAAGGTCTGCACTAGTCAGTGTTGGTGTTCAGCTTCATTACATGTTAACAAAATGGGCCCTATTTTGAGGATCCATGATGTCTGATCAAGATATATTGGTGGTATTTGAGTGTGTCCATGTTCATTTTGGCAATTTGACAACAAGGAAAAAGGGCTGTACTTCATCTCCTCATTAATGTAGTAGTGTGTTTTGGCCTTAACATGCAATTATCCAATCAGTGTGTAACCTCACATCTCCTTTAAGAGATGTGTGACTCCGAACGTTTGGCAGATAGCTAGCATACTGGTGGGATGTCAGTAAGATTTTCCACAGAGGAAACGGATCTGCTCATGCACAAGGTGATGGCGCACACTCACTAATCAAAATGGTATTTATTATAAATACATATATACTGATGTGCACAACACCCAATGAACACAATGTCATCTTTTTATTTTTTAAGGCTTGCATGTCCTGCGCAGCGTGCCCCAGGGTATAACAAGTACAGTGCACAAGCATTGTGCACACACCTAGACAGGCACGCATCACAACACAGTCAAAGTGGCCATTAAATAGCAAAGATGAGTCAACTGTTGACCACAGACCTGGTTTTCGCTCATCAGCAGAGCAGTCTCTTTGTGTGCAATCATATTATCAGCACACCCAAAATTGACCTCGACACACCCCATTTTCATCTGGACACACTTGCTGGCGTGAAATCAGCAGACTGCTTCTTGGTAAAATGGCACTGTGATATGCATGTCATGAAAACAGTGATGGCACAGATAAGAAATCAGTAAACACACATGTGCTACCCATTCTGCACACCATGCATTTGTTGCAAGATAGGGCCCATAGTATTAAAGTGTGTGACTCTGTGTATTCTTACTTCATCTCCAGGACCTCCTCTAGGTGCTTCCGCCTCTCAGCCCGCAGGGCAATCAAGTGACCTTCCTTCTCGGCCAGTGAGAGTTGAGTTGATGACAGCTTAGCTTTCATCACCTCCAGTTCTTGTTTCACCTTATCCATGGCAACCAGCAAGTCTTCCATCTGACACACACACACACACACACACACACACATACAATGTAAGCCATTTTAAACAGGTCTTTGATTTTTAATTCGTCAATTTTTTTTCATTTTCATTAGCATTTAATTTCCAAGGTCAGCCTTTATGTTCATGAGCGTGTTGCATCTTCCCCTCTCTGAGTGTGTGCACATGACAGCGACTTCTTGTGTTTTTATCTTATTTTGCTGTTTCTCTTCTCTCACAAACTATATGTATGTTTTATCTTTGTTCCACTTTGTTTCAATGTGTATATCTGCATGTCAGTTTAACGTAAGTAAGGTTGGAGTGACAAGGTCACTGTATTTCTCCCTCTCTCACATACACACACACAAAACAAATAAACAAAAATCCTGAGGATAAGCAAAATACGAAAGCAGCATCTGTTCAAAGGGAAGTGGGGGCAAGACAAACTAAGGAAGAACTTTCTCTCCCCTTTTCCTGTAACTACTCTGCTGATGACATTTCTTTCTGCTTTAATCCTTTTCCAAGGCTTTCCCACACTGAATTCCTCTTCACCAATTCCTACATCATATCTGAACAATTAAATTTTTGCTTTGAGTTTCTTGAATCAACTGGTTATTTTGTGTTTTTTTAAATGATTGTGATTTTGTCATTCTGTCTTCTTGTTACCATCAAAATCTTCAAGTTGCTCGGAATCTTAACAGAACTTTAATAAAGATGCCACACACTGGTGGAGTCTAATCCACAAAGTTTTTCTGTGTTTGTATCAGTTTTCAAACTGATCTGTCCTCACTGAAATGAAAGTGTTTCAAAGTAATGATGGGTCTGTCATGCTACACTGATGAGATGAAAAACAGCACAGGGCTGAAGAGACAAAAGGCAATGAAAGTGAGAGAAGGATGGAGAAAAAAGCATTACTAATATTTTTAATTCAGTGTATCTGAGTATGTCTAAATTACATAATGGGCTTCATGCTGGATGGAGTAGGTCTGTGATAATGAATGGATGACAATGATGAGTACAAACCAACCAAGTTACGAACCAGCAGAAGAAACTAAACACACACTTTCAACATCTTCAGCAAGTTTATTAAACAGTATGTTCAACACAAAAAACCACTAAATAAAGATTTTATATCCTGCAGTTCACTCAAATAAACAAGTGATGGGCTGGAATGAAACAGATGAATGGTGAAGGTATGAATGATTGATGAAATGAACAGTAAAAGGCAGCGAGTGAGGTTTGTGGTGAACGTTTGTTACCTTTGACCACCTAAAGCCGGCAGTGGTGAACTCATGCAGTGGAATATGAGAGAGCTGTGTACAAAAAGAGCAGAGACAGAGGGAGAGATGGAAAGAGAGAGATGGAAGGAAACAAAAAAGGCAAGGGAATTGTGAAGGAGGAGGAAAAAGGAATTTAAAAAAAGGGGGCAAAAGAAGAGTACGCATATACACAGACACAAAAAAAGAGGCAAAATGAAGTAGGAAAAGGATGAATTTGAAAGTAGGAGAGTAGTGTCAGAGGGCAAAATCAAAACAAACAAAAAACAAAAATCACAGCAATGGGAAAAAGAAAAAGTGGGCACAAGCAAAGGTAATTAGGAGGAGAAAGAGATGGTAGACAAATAGGACAACAAACATGCAGGGAAGAAAAGCAGAGAAAGGAAGAAGAGGAAGAGAAAAGTTGTAAAAATGCTCAAGTCAAAAGATAAACAGCAAAAGACAAAAAGAGGAACAAATGCTAAGACCATGAAAAAGAGAGATAACCAGATAAAAGAGAGAGAATGTGAAAATACTGAGCAGTCTGAAACACAGGCAGTGTAAAATATATGCAATTCAGACAAAGATAAGCAGGAGAGGAGTTGATAGGAGCTACTAATACCAGGTTTAGACACAATGATTTCAAGGCCCACATTTTTTCAGCTTCCTTGATTTTGGTAGTTTCTGATTTTACTACATTCTTAAAATACTGCTATTTTTACCTCAAGTTCTCCTTGAAGGATAAACAACCTATACTGCCCTCTTCGTTTGACCCACAGATAGGTGATAGGTTCACAGTACTAGCTGGTCTCATACACACAGCTTCAGACACCATTCTGTGTTTACATTTTTGCTCGCAGTTCCTGGCACCTGCCTCACGCAAGTCGTGAGCAGCAGCAAGCTATGATCTGTTAGGTACAAATGTCTAACCTGTCACATCTCTCACCCAAGTCACAGCAAGAATTTAGGACTCTATAATCATGTAATCTGACACAGTGATAGAGAAGAAGAGAAAGCCTTTTGGCCAACACCAGAGATGTAGAGACTGAGGGATGGAGAGATGCAGGGAGTGGTGGTGAGTGACAAGGCCTGGCTGTAAAAGAAGGAGCCGGAAGAGAGGAGGGCATCAACCCCTTCAGTCCTCTAAATGTGTGTGTTTGTGGGTAAGAATTTCAACTGTATTTTAAGGGTCAGAAAGGAAGAGAAGGTGCAGTGAGTTCATGAATAAAATGGTCTGGTTAATAAAAGATGGAAAGCTGGAGAAGAGAATGTCTGTCCTTAGTTTGGTCTCAGAAGAGACAGATGGCATGGGTCATGGTATTGACTCAATCCTCGATGACACGCACACACAACTTTCTTCAGTATACACACATACACTTGTGACTCATGTCTAGCAGAAAAGGTTGAGTATATTTTCATGTGGTCAACCATGAAACCTAGACAAACCTTAGTCCATGGGACAGTCCCACACACACACACACACACACTGGGTCAATAAATGGCTGACAATGTGTGTACTGTACTGTAAGTGTGTACCAATATGTAGTCATGGTGTGTGAGTTTATGTGTCTGGTTTGGCTACATTTGCATGTATGTGTGTGCCAATGCTATAAAAAGCAACGTGCGTGTCTTTGAGCAGGTCATACTCATTAAGAGATGAAACTATGTGTCTGTCATTTTATAAATCATTATGTGAAAAGTTAACTGCAGTGACGCAGTAGTAAAACAGGAACACAAAAATATTTATTTATAATTTACTTGTGTATATAAAGACACATGTCCGGTAAAAAACCAACATTGTGTCCATTGCTGAATGCTAAGTTGTGCTGCTTTGGTGCACAGTTTAAATAGCAGTCAGCACTTCACTCCATGTTTGTGGAGGAATATGTGTATGTACAGTATATGAGGTGCTGTCTTGCACGTTACTATACTGTCTGTGAGCTTCGACTACACACATGCGGGTGTGTATATGTTGCTGAAAGGCTGACTTAGTGCTGTTGATGTTGGGTGAGGATTGCGCTGAGTGCCTGGCTCTCCACTCGCTCACCACACGCTTACATTTCTGCTCCTTCCTCCTTCAATCAAGCCTTTTAACACAAGGCCGCTCTCCAGCACCCTGTTCTGGCCTAAATAGCCTCTGTTCTGTCTAATTAAAGCTGCCACTTACGGTATGGCAAGTTTTTCAATATTTTACTGCCAAATTAGATGTGACATCTTGGCATGATTGCTGTAAACAAATCACAGTCAAATTCAGGAGGATAAACATGTTGCATGTGATTTTTCTCTCTTTCTTTCACATGTTCCAGTCTTGGCTATTGTGAAAACTTGAAGCCTCTAGATCAGTTGTTCCGATAGGGGCCTCAGATCTTCTCTACAAGTGTGTCTTTGTTTTAGGAAACTATAATTAAGCCATAGATTATTACTCTATGACTGTAGCTTTGTGACCTAATTGTATTGGGAACTAGGGAACCACACGCACTAAAATTGGGAACTAAGCTCGGAAATAAAAGTCTCTTTGGCACATTCTTGTTTGTATTGGTACCATATCCAAGGAACCGTGAAGATTAGAAATATTAATCTGATGACAGACTAAAAAATGACCCTTGTGCTGGAGACAGAATTCTTATACAAGGTACAGTAACAACATTGACTCATCATGTTATTTACTGTGGATGCAATGAATGGAGGCAAAGGCGAAAAAGGAGGTGGAAAACTTGTTTCATGGTTATTCCTGCTTAAGTAAGCCACATAACCACAACAAAACAAATATGAAATTCAGTTTTCACTTGTTTTGATTGCCACTCCTTCCTCTCTCATGTTTGCTCATGACCTCAGTGCATTTACACACTCTCTTTGGCTTAAAGCTAATATATTAGGGATGTGCACCCCTAACCACTTAACCGTTAACTGACAATAAGAATTTCAACTGATTAATACTATCAGTTAGACAGTTAAAAAATTTTAAACAGTTTGCTAAAAAATAGGTTAAAGGGCCAACATGTCATGGGTGGTGTGGTGCAAAGCGAATCAAACACGCTTCCCCAAGTGGAAAGACCATGCTGGCCACTAGTGAGCCACTATGGGGCATCAGTACCATCGGACCAGGTACTCTCCACCGTGGGTCTCAGTAAACAGACTAAACCCCACAGCATTTTGACATGTTGCTATTTCTGAACAAAAAACAGTAGGCTGCAAGTTTGTTTTGTTAACCTGTTAGGTGGTTTGTTTATTAAGCTGAGACTGGAGGAGGAGGATTTTGTTACAGCACTCTTGCCAGAGATTTCAGATTTCAGTGTGTGTTTCCATTAATCTCAGTGCTCAAAGTGGGCGGGTACACACATGTATGCAGTATAGGTACCAGCACTTTTGTATTTTTCTCTTTGGTACGTATATCAGCACTTCTCACAAGCTGCCAGCACTCTCTTCTGCCCTTTCCCTGGATGTGAGATGCGATGCATCTCGCCTGGACAGGGGACAACAGACGACAGGAGCAAGGGGTTGTGACAAAGACCTCCACCAAAAGAGAGCTTTAGGTGGTAGCAAATATTCAATAATCATATTCAATTTAGTTATCGGCTATCAATTCTCACCATAAAACAATGTAAATACAAATCAAAAATTTAAAAAAGTTTGACACCCCCCTCTCTTGTCTTTTTCTGTCCTACACTTCTCCTCCCAGGGCACAGAAGTGGCTGTTCTAAGATTTACTAGCACGATTAAGGTCTTTGCAGTACCTGCAGTTTTCAGAGAAATACAAGCTATGAGACTGTTCTGCTTTACTTTGAACAACACTTTGGAAGGAGGTAACATTCATGGCCCGGACCTAACATGATATCACACACTCTAAAGTAAAGTGAGCTGCCTGAGGTCAGCAGCACACACAAGCTATTTTACTAGGCTGTTTTACTCCATTCACAGTTCTACAGATGTGTGATGTGACCATGTGTTCTGTTCATGTTCTGTTGTTGTTGATGACCTATTGGCATATGTAAAAATAAACCCCTTATGGAAAAATTTTTATTTTTTAATGGGTCACAGACATTCATCCATTTTAAACAGTGTAGCATTTTAATCTTGTCGGTTAATGGTTAATGGTCAGTTAACAAGCATCGGTTATCGGCCAAAAATAAAAAAAGAAAACCTAAATGTGCATCCCTACAATATACATAACCCTGTTTGTAACATCACCTATTTCATTCTATCGTCTTAATATTGACAATAGTGGCACCCAGTGCTTACTTACTGTGTTAATGGACAGACAAGTTAGAGACAAAGGAAGTTTTGTTTGACCAATCAATAAAGATCAGTTCTGCAAAAGATGATGAGAAAAGGTTCTACATCATTGACATTTACCAGAAATGAAGGTGTCAGCAAAATACCTCAAAAGTAAAACATCTGCTTGCATGGCTATCTTTGTGTGTCTATTCAGTAGTACTCTGGTACATACAGGCCAGAGAGGACAGCCAACATTTAGAGGCAGTAATAACAATAGCGTCCAGCTGTTTTGCCAATAGCTACAGCGGGCCATGTTTTCTCAGGGTAATTTTCAGCCACACTGTATTTTTTCCTACTTGTCAAAACCCATCCAGGCACTGAAGAACATTTCCCCCCTCTACGTCCTCATTAAGTCGCTGGTGCCCACGGGAATGACATGCACAAGCTCACACTCTCCCACTGGTCTGACGCTGAATCCACTAAACTCTTCCTTTCTAGTCTTCCTTAACACATTTATGAGCTTTCCTACTGTCTCAATGTAGATAAAACTGATAACAAATTGGAGTGGTCAGCTTCAGCTATGTTTAAGAAAAAGCTGTTTTGTGCTGCTGGCTGAAGAGGACAGAATACATGCTGTTCTTGAAATAGGGGTGTATTTACCTCTTCTCCAAATAAGGAGTGACTGGGCAAACACACACACACACACACAGAGCCACACCTGAATGAGCTCAGCTGACATGGGGAATGTGTGCTGCCACTGTCATTGGCCCCTTTTGGTAGGAAAATGTTTAGCTATGTCACAAAGAGTTGTTAAGTTGCTCTAAAAATGTTTGTGTTTGTGTCCAAATGTCCCACATCTGCCTATGTGAACAGAAAAAAAGAAATAGAAAAAGAAAAAACTGATAGGGGTTGAGTTTAAGGAAAGGTTTGGGTCACATATTTACTGGTTGGGGCAAAGAATCTTAGATATCTTAGACAAACATAAGTGTGAGTGCGTGTGCATACTGAAGTACAGTAGAGACAGTACCTGTTTCTCAGCCCGTGTGCGTGCCTGCTCCTCCTGGGCGAGCACCACCTCTCTCTCTGCAGTGATCTGAACGCTTTCCCTCAGTGCCTCCTCCAGCTCCTCAATGCGCTCCTCCTTCAGACGGATGGTATCCTACAGAGAGAAAGAGCAGATTTATTAAGTAACAAAACCAAGAGTGTAGAGCCATGCTAGCAGCTCTATATGGCTGCACTGCACAGCACATGGAATTTTGACCTTTCACTAGGAACCACAAAAATAAATCTGATAGAAGAGTAAAAGTCAAGAGCTTCTAGGGATCATCATGAATTTCTATACGATCCACTTAATAGGTTTCATAATAACTTACTATAATCTTGACCATAGTGATTTTCAGCCATCACTAGAATATGGCTTGAAATGCAAATATTTAATGGGTCCTGTCTCTAAAATTTCAGGATCTGCAGATTGGTTATGTTTAGATTTTTTTTAAAAACTATTTGGGTCTGATAAACTATGATGGCAATTTTTCACTATTTCTGACACTTCATAAACCAATATAATTGTTAATTGCAGTCCCAGTACATAATATATAGTGTAACTGTTTTTTCCTCAAGCAATTTTTTATCCTTATCAAAAGTTTCCAAAAAACTTTAAAAATATTATTCGAGAGAGCCTTTAAAATTAAACAGACACTAGCCAGAAAAAATAATTGGCTTATACTATACCTATATACTTTACAAAACCTTCCTTGACCTGACATCCACCATATCTCACAGAGAGTGTTCTAAGTTTCCTGTAACAGCAACATTCTCTGTCACATCTTGCTTAACAGATGCGTGAAATCTTGCACATTCTAGTTTGCTGCTTTCTCTAACTGAAATAAGCTGCAAAAGACTCATATACTAGACAATCTGATCTCCATCTGCCTCTGAGGGCTGTCTGGAACTCCCAATCACACATGAAGCCTTTTCCAGAAAAAATGACTAAATGAACTTCCAACCAATTCCACAAAAAGACCTACTTCCCTCTTGTCAGGCACCTGAACTTCCTGGGTAAATTAGAGTTGAATTAATAACTGATGGCGGCAGGGTGGGACACAGAGGACGAGACATTACAGTGGTCCTGAACAAACCCCCAGAACATCTCCAACACATGTGTTGTGAATCTGTATCCCGCTCCAGGACCAACATTACTTGGTGTCTAACTATGCAGACTGAAATAAGCATAAATTGGACTCATTTTTATTGTTGTAATGAGTTACATTGATGATCTGAATTCTACCCACATTCCATTTACGGTCTTCAGTTCTAGTTAAGCTATGCAGAATGGGTTACAACTCACACACACACACACACACACACACACTCACACACACACACACACACACTCACACACACACTAGTTACTGTATGACAGTAACCACTGTGGTCTTGTAAGTCTGACTGACTCACATAGCTATCAGCTCATCTCCTAACCACACACATAATCACATATGACAACTTTCAAACTCCTTAAACCAATCATCAATCATAGCTAGAGGGAACATACACTTTGCACAAACACACGCAGAAAAAAATGTTGTCATCTGCCTCTAATCAGAAAGGCCACTGATGTTAATGATTACTGGAAGAGGAGAGGGATGGCCAAGAGGTGCATGGTTAAGGAAAAAAGAAAAGAGGAACTCAGGGAAAATTATTCAGGATGAAGAGGATAAAAGGTAGAAAGAGAGAGCTTAAATAAAACCTGAAATCTGAATAAATATGAAGAAAACCACAGCAACAATCATCACCTCACACCTCCTGACTCCCCAGTAGACAATTAGGAGATGCTCTCACCTCATGTGACGTCTATAAAACCAACAGCATTCACTTTGTAGTTCAATGCATGAGTTGGTTCTTTCTCCTCTAATCGCATCTCCTTCGATTTTATTAACCCTTTCTCCCCTTCACCTCTCCCAACATTTTTATTCCCTCTCCTTTCCATCTTCCATCTGTTCTTCCTGTCAGTCATCTTCTTCAGTTATTCCCCTCACACAAATTCCCTAAGCGAGAGCATTGTGTGTGTGTGTGTGTGTGTGTGTGTGTGTGTGTGTTTGTGTGTGAGAGAGAGAGTGAAAGTGCGTGAGTGTGTTTGACATAGCCTTAGGCTATGCTCACTGTCATAATTGTCACATTGCACTGGAAGATTGTTGTGACAGCAGACAATATTTAAGGTAGGACAAAGACATGGAGGAGAAAAACTTTCTATCTCAATTTTTTCACTCTCTCATAGCTTCTCCTCGCCTCTTTCTCCACACACTCCGTACCTTTATCTGCTGGGAGCTTTCGTTCAGGTTGTCCTCTCTCTTTTTGGCCTCTTCCATCAGCTGGGTGTTCCTGCTCTTCTCTAGCTGCTCCTTGTGTTTCAGGTTGGACACCTTCTTTGACTGGTCCTTCATCTGCCTGCACACAAATACACACACACACACACATAACCAGCTGTGAACAGAAGACAGATTTGATTTTTCTCATTATCTAAAGGGGAAAACTTCCAAATTTTGTGATGATTTATCCTCCTGTACTGTATGTCTACTTAGTGCCATCAAAGTCTATTTGTTATCCACTGCTTCTCACAAACACATTCTAATATTAATTGACCACTATACTTACTGGCTAGCACTATTGAATCAACATGAGTTGTACAGTGACTGCACACCCAAAATTAGATGCCCATCCTAGCAACAGCCTTTTTAGAAATGATGGTGACTGCAAACAAAGCTATAAAAATGTAACTATATCATCAACAAACATAAATATTTGCTGATTTAATATTAGGAAAACATCTAAAAAAATACATTACTATATACATATTTAAACACATTTAGATAACATGACATTTAACATGAAAGCTTAATCTAAAAATTATGTCCCAAAAATTATTGTCTCATGAAAACAAAGATGACTCAATAGCATGAGGTGACCAGGTGAACTTTGGGTCTACTCTCATTTCCTGTAATTTTCCTCTAAGTCTCAAAAGCACAGCAGCTCTTAGTTAAACAGTAGTCAAAATAAGTCAAAAATAATCTAATCTGTTTGGATGAGGAAAAATAAACTTCCCAAGAAACCCTATCCAAATTCAAAAGCCAAATTTGTAAAGTTGTAGGACGCACTAAATATCATTAATATTTTCTTCCTGATTTGTCATCACACATAAATAGCTGTTTAACAGCAGTTAAAAGCTGTTTAACACAACGGCACCTAAATACCATCTGCCGTAATGACCCCATATCAAACACATTCAAAACACTGTGCCTGTTATTGCCCTTAAGATGATATTGCTAGACACTGTGAGTAACAGTTCTGTGCAATAAAACACTGTAATGGAACCTCTTGAGGGCAATACAATGTAAAGATCAGAAAAGGAATTCAATGAAAACCCATGAGTCAGTGACAAGATGGGAGGGAAGTGTGAGGGTCTTTTCACAGAGGGATTACTGGGTGTTGGGAAACATAGCCTAATCATCATCTAGGGATTGAAGCAGAGAGAGCAAAAACAAAAGGAGAGAAAGAGAGAGGCAGAGACAAAGAGAGAGAGGAGTAGGGTGAGGAGGCGGAGAAAGGGTTTAATCCCTGTTTAAGATGTCTGGATGCCTATCAGCTATCATACCAGCTTGACTTGATCAGGACCTTTCATACACACACACACTCATACTAACCCAAGCTAACCCCAGTGAGGTTTAATGTCTACTGAAACATGACACAGATGACAGACAAGTCATACTCAAAAAGCCAATGTGTACACACTGGCATTTATTCAACAAAGACATTTGTAAGACTAAACTAAACTGCTTGGTACCACTGAACAGTAGAAATGTTTAGGCATGTGTGTGTTTTCCTATTATATATCTTTTTCACAGGCTCATACATAAATCCATTTTCTTCACTTCCATTGCTGCAGCTGCCAAAAAAGGAGCTGACCTCCAGTGATGGCAATCCACAGCCAACTCGTGAAATATTTTTACAAGCTGTATAGGACTAAGTTTGTTTCCTATGGTGCAAACAGGTTCCAACTGTCACTTGACCTTTGTCTGTTCTTCACTAAGCTTTGAACTCTACTCTATACCTTTGTAGACCTCACATTGTGCTGTTTTCCCTGTTGTATTTTCACAGCTCATCCTCGAGTGCAATCTTTTGTCAGGATTAATAAGTCTAAATCTTGAAGTTTATTTGTTTACATCTACACAAAATAGTGTATTATATCTATACATATTTTAATGTCTATATATTTAATGACCCGCCTTTTCTTTCATCTTTCCTGTTTCTTTAGGCCATGAACTAACCTAAAACAATAAGAGCAAATCAATAAAATAGCTTTTGCAACAGAATCACTGCCAGAAACTTTGACAAATGATATTGTCTGAAGATGGTAACACAAAATCCTCTATGTTTGCTAAAAGGTCCAGGGGGCCCAATTACAATGTGTCCAGAGAAATTTGGAAAAGTGGAGTAAAAACGGAAACGTGATGACCGGGCCAAAACTGTTCTGCAGCACTTGCACCAAAGCTTGCAGCTGTGTATGGGGGTTTTACTTGTATTGTTTTTGTGTGGATTTTAAAGGCCTACACATGTAGCATACTGCATCAGTGTTACATATGTTCAAATGTTAAATAGCAAAGCATATGAAGTCAGTGTGGAGACAGATACATTATGGTAGATTTTTTTTGCTGTTCCCTTTGTTCTATTTTCAGTTTGTACCCTGAGTGTGGAAGCATATGAAGTCAGTGTGGAGACAGATGCATTATGGTAGATTTTTTTGCTGCTCCCTTTGTTCTGTTTTCAGTTTGTACCCTGAGTGTGGGATAAAGGTATATGAATATTTGGGATAATTTTTCTGCTATAGCCCTGTGTGATTGTGAAACAGGTCATAAACAGGCAGGAATGTTCCTACTGGAGGATTTCCAGGAAGATCCAACCATCTGGTTGGCTCTCTGAGGTTTCCCCCATCATGCTACATTTACTGAATATATGTGTCTGTACAGTATGTGCATTATACATATAGCTCGCAATGCTTCCTGTTCACTCAACACTCACTGTCTCCACAGGGCGCGGGTAGTGACGTTCAACCAAGGGTCAACAGTATTTCTAGCCCTCCTTTTCACCAAGGGAGCAATGGACTCCATAATCCTAAAACAAGTAGAGTCAAATAAGCCGAGGAAAGCGTCAGGGCATGCCGGTAGGTTCTCAGCCTCTGAGGAGCAAAGCTCAGAAGCAGAAAAGGCAATGGCAAAATCCGACACCGTAGATGAGGTGGTAATCCTACGACACTGGCAGGGGGCCAACGTTCTAGGAGCACTTGTCGATGCCAGAACTTCGAAGTGGATAAGAAAGTGATCTGTGATGGCCAGGTTCAATACATCCTTGATACAAACTGATAGGCCCTGAGAAATGACAAGGTCCAGGGTGCCCCCACGTAGATGAGTGGGGCCCAGTACCGACTGGACGAGATCAAAGGATTCGAGCAAATCGTTGAACTCCTTTGCTAACTAATCCGAAGCACAGTCAACATGAATATTAAAATCTCCACAAATTAAAAAGCTGTCAAATTGTGGAATCAATACACCCAGGAGTTCCCCAAAGTCATTCATAAAATCCTTGGCTTTCGGAGGGCGGTATATTAAAACACATAACGTAGGGCGGTGTAAGGTTAAAATGAAAGTTTGTAGTTTAAAACTGGAAAAATCTCTTGAGGGAAATGGGCGACATTTTAGGGTCGACTTAAAGACCGTTGCCAGACCGCCACCTCTACCCGCCAGTCGCGGCGTATTAAAAAATAAATAATCCGCCGGTAACAACTCAGAAAAGAGACTGTTGTTGCCTTGTTTCAACCAAGTTTCAGTAATAAAAACATATCCAGGTGGTGTGAACACATAAGATCATTAAGAATAAAGGTCTTCTTAAGTGATCTTATGTTCAGGAAAGCAAACTGAAGCGGACTTGGCTTGTCCAGAGAAAAGTCATTTCGAGCCACTGGGCGGAGGTTAGCCTGGGAATGACGCCGGTCCGAGCATCTAACCAGCCGACAATGTGGGCAAGGGGGGTCAACATCTTCGCCAGCCGGCAGAAGAAAGCGATAGTTGTAGGTAAGAGTCCAGCTTGAGTCAAGGCAGCCATGCTCGAGGAGTTGCTCCCTCCACCACTGTGAGTTCAGGCCCGATTTCAATCTTACATGACGTCCAGCTCTCCTGCCACGTCGCCTCCGACGGGGCCTACCCGGAAGAGGGCCAGTACTCCGCCGAAGGAAGGAAGGTATAGACGCCGGTGGTGGCGGTGGAAGTTTGAATTGATAGGTTAGGAATGCTGGAAGATCCAAACGAGTTGTGTATATCAATGAGCGTCAGACGATCATAAACCAAGGTAGAAACAACAGAAGCAGAATCAAATATCAAAAAGGAGTTCTGTATAAATATTTGATCAGAAAATACTTGGGGGCCTCTTGTATGTTTACTGCACATAATTCACCCAACATCAACATCAAGGATTTCCTTTTAACTATTTGGAATTCAGTATTTACCTCAAAAATAAATAAAATACTTGGCTGGATTGCTTATCCTTTATAAACTATAAAACATAAACAAGAAACAAAGTTGATCAGTTTAGTCTTGACCACCATCAGTGCAAAGGAAAACTGAATAGTTCAAGTAGGATGTTTTTGAAAGAAAAACCTGTTTTTTGATTTGTGGAATAATTGCAAAAAATCCCTCAAGTAGAGAAGTGAATGAGTAAGGTAAATAAGGAGATAAGGCATCTACCACCCATATGTACATATGCGAACTGCCACAGGATGAGTTACTGGAAACTAGCTGTAAAGGTACTATAATACAACAGCAGACTTTTTCACCAGCATCTATATTGATGGGATATATCCACACTTCAAAACAAAAGTGTCACTAAAGTGAGAGTGTTTAGATAAGTGTGTAGTGTAAGCATGTAACAGAGAGCTGGAGTTCATGTTGGCAGAGTCTTTGTTTCACATGGAGCACAATCAAATCCCTAAAGTAAACACTAACAAATTGCTCTTCAGCCTCATATTCACTGTTTGATATAAACTCTAGATTATATTGTAAATGAATCAATACCACAAGACTCAGGTTAGCTCAGTGCCTAAACACTGCTTTCAACTGTATGCATGAATACATGCATATAGCCAAGAAACCATAATAACTTCAATGTAACATCAGTAAGATTAGAAAGTATAATTTACACCGAGCAGCCACTTTAACCGGCAGTATATCGTAGGCTTCTGTAATTTCTAAAATCTTCTGATTCAAAATTCTTAAAATGTGATTTTCTTTATTTTGAGGATTGTGCATATGTTTGTATTCAGGTATTTTAATAAGATAATTCTCAGCAGTCATCCCTGTTGTATTGTTTTTACCTATTAGCTTGCAAATTTCTCCTCGCATGAGTGTTTGTGTCTGTGGAAGAAAACAACATACATGGTCCGTGATAGTGTGTATGTGTCTGCTTGTTGTCACCCATTAGCTAATAAATCCTTGCACCACCTCAATGCTCAGACTCATACAGGACATCAAAGGGCTCACAAACACATGGACACACACAATAAGAATTCCTTTTTAACCCTATAAAACCATTTGTATCATATTTGATATGTGAGGTTTCTGAGCAAAAAAAAAAATCACCAAAAAATGCATCAAATGTGATAAAAAAAGAAATAGAAATAATCTAAATAATATGGCACCTCTATTCCTATATGCCTGGACTGTTTGCCTATGCATCATATGGCAAATAAAAATTGTGAATCTTGAATTTCGAATCATAAATTTTATTTTGGATTTTGTTAAAAGGTTTAATAAATATCTCAGTTCCAAAAAATTAGAATGTTCTGGCTATTTTTTGATATGTTTGGCTTTACAGGGGTAAGCTACAGATACCTTGATGTCAGACATTTGGCAGTGGTTGAGTTCCTTATCTCTACATCAAAACAACTAGAAAAAATGAGAAAAAACAACATCAGTAGAGAAAGGACAGAAGTAGAAAAGGTATTTTGCTGTCTACCAGAGAGCAAGACAATACTTTTTGTTTTTCCCCCTCTTGAGTTGAATCACAAAACACGAACTAGAACAAAAGCTGACAAGAAGGGAGGGGGGAAAGTGGCTCTAGTAGCTGAAAAAGAAAGAACAAGCAACAAAAGAGCTGGCACTGGGGAGAGTTCACAAAACACTCAGACCACCAGATTTATGCAGGAGACAGAAGGAACAAGTGGTTATTATGTGGTTGATCCCAATGTGTAGGTCAGAGAATTTTCAATATGAGGTTGATATGTCGTTATAAAAGCCCAAATTCAGACTTTGGGTTTTGCAGGCTGAAATCTCATTAGCATCACCTCCTTCAGTGTGAATACAAATAGACATGAATGTGGAGTTGGACAGATTCACTTTTTTGACAATTTCATGATATCTGTCCATTAGGACATAAGGCTACAACCAGCAGCCAGATGGTTTAGCTTAGCATAAAGACTGGAAACAGGGAGAAAGAGGCTGGCTGTACAATTTATTTTGGCTGGAAGCAGTAACTTCCTGGAGTCTCCACAGACTACCTGGCAATGTCACTGTGGCAACAACAGGACATAATGTGTTAACTGGTGAGTTTTAGAGGTGCTGGTAGATGGATTTTTATACCTGCTGACACAGCCAGGCTAACTGTTTCCCCTGTTTCCAGTCTTTATGCTTAGCTAAGCTCCACCCACCACAATCTCCTGGCTCCAGCATCATACGGTGTTCATCATACAGTGTTCACCATACAGACGGAAGAGTGGTATCAGCCATTTTCTATAATTCTATAAAGAAAAGCAAAAAAGTGTTTCCCAAAACTATTCCTTTAAACCTCCACACAACAAGCTAATGGTCTAATTTTCTAATTTCATGACAATTTTGAGAGCTAAACACAGGGTCACGGGCCAGAAAATTGTATGGAGTCCAAGTTGAACAGCTGAAACAGTGAACAAAAAACAGTTCCCCACAACTTGAGCTGAATCCCAGGCCATCTTAACTGTGATTTATGTTGAAAAGAGCCACAGATATATTGTATAAACCCAACAAAAGTACAAAGACCTCTCGCCAAAGTTCACAGCAGTCCAAGTTAATAATGGCGACACATCGCTTTAACATTTTTCCCGTTTGCTCTAGTAGTCTCAAATTTGAATTGAAATAAGTTAGTGCTAGAATCAAAGTTTAAATGCTGGTATAGTGATGAGAATGGCAGAGTTATAATGAAGAGTAAAAGAAAGAAACAATGTTTCCTCTTTAAAGAGGAAGCAATGTGACAGAGAAAAAGAGCAGTGGGAAAGTCAAGGTGTCTATCAAAGACACGATGAGAATGATTAAAACAAAGTTTATGACAGAGTGAAGGAGACAAGAGAGTGTCTTGATGCAGGGACAAGAAGTATGACAATGAACGAGAGATGACAGAGACAGACAGCGATGGAAGATAAATAGACATGCAGTACTAACCTTGAGGCAAGACTGGGTAGTGCAGAAGATAGCATTGCAATGTAAAGATAAAAAGAAAGGAAAAGAGACAGAGAAGGGTAGGGAACGGTGAGAGAAGAGAAGAGAGCAGAGCGCTAGGTTAGCCAGCTTGATCACTCTTCAAAGAGAATGAGATACGAGACAGAGGAAGTGACAGAGAGACAGAGAGAGAGAGACATAATTAACCACAGAGAAACTACAAGCAGACAGGAAGTCAGGCATGACCAAGCAACCAGCTAAACAGGCAGACAGGTTATTCGTCGTAGTAGAGTACTGAGGTCTGCTTACCTCACATAACCTCTACAAACACTTAAAGGCCACACACACAGACAAGACTGCAATCACAAAGCATACAAAGTGAGCAACTTGCCAATCAATGCATGAGCCAAGAGCGTGCTCACTATGAATTATTTCTTCACTGGTTTAGATTTTGCTCATGACTTCTTTTGCTTCTTGGTGGGACAAGTTAAAAAGTAATTTTACATGTCCCTTTGTGGACATGTGAAATTTGAACCAAAAGTCATATGGCATGAAAAATATTAACAAATGAAATTTGAAGAAATTTCACATTTTAAATTGGTTGACCCCCAAAAGTACAGTTTTCCACACAGTCACTTCTCATTTCTTTGGTCAAACTGGCAAACAGTGGTGAGTTTATCCTTGAGAACGCATGCATTTTAATGACAGCATGCCAGAGACAAATTGTCCATTACAGAACAATATAACACAGAATAAAGTACTCTAATTTCCCATTACTCAGGTTTTTATTCAGCATCTCTCCTCTTTGCCTGTTCTTTTCTTTCTCTCTGTCTTCACCCGTTATTTCATTTCTGTGTCACCAGTTTTCTACCAGTTTCCCTTTATCTCTTTCCTTTGCTCTCTGCTTTCCAACTCTTCCCTCCAAATCCTTTATTTTGGCCATCAGGACAGATTTTCAGCTCCATTTCCCCTCAGTGTGAAGTCACTCTGTCTGCTCCAATTACCATCCTAGTTAGTGAAATAAATAACCTGGTACCATTACAGATATATTTACACAAGAGGGGAGAGACAGAAGCATGGCTTATTACCCTTGTTTGACCCACATCTGATCATTTCATTAGTAACGTTCCTGCAGTTCACTTACGTATAGCCCAGGGTTATCCTTGGTGCGAGCTAAGAGTTGGCCAGAGGTGGTGGTGGTGGTGTGTAGATTAAATAGCTAAATATTTAATCAATTGCGGATTGCATAGTTCTCTCGGACGTAAAAAAAAAAAAAAAGTACAAATGTGTGGCGAAATATACTTGGGCAGGCGTTAAGATACCTGGGCGGCCCACCCCAGTCATGTCAATGCGTGGGAAACACTGTTCCTTTCCTCAAGCTGACTATGGCACCAGATCAATGAGCTTAGTCTTTGGCATTGAAAAATAACTTTTGGCATAAAGGGGCAGGCTTTGAGGGGGTGGGGCTAAGGAGAGTTTGATTTTGTTATGTTACTTCAGGCTGCTTTTAGGAAACTCCTATGTATTCAATTTGGGGGTAGTACTATGTATTTCACAACAGTATCCCACTGTATAATAGTAACATTAAGCTAGTTTTATAGAAAATGTAATTTTCTTTTTCCACACTAGCACACATATTCATTATCGTGAAATAAGTGGTTTGTAGTGGTTATGTTGGCAGGTAAATGGATATGCAATCCCTTTTTCATCTTCACATTTAGTGGTTTTGTTTAGCTCTTATCTGTATAATGAGGACAACACTTTCTGGCTAAGTTAATACTGTGGTTGAGGATTAACATGGTAAAACAGTTATGAAAAGGGCAGAACTGTATCTTTTCTAAGCCCTACCTCGCTTAGTTACTGCTGCTGTACCTTGAAAGCTACATGGATTAGACGAAGGAACAAACACTCTTTAACGCCTTCCTTACACTTTGGTTGTTGTGATATTGATTATTTATGGACTGTTGATTTCAAATAGAAATAAACAAAAGCTGGTTTATTTCTATCTAGCCAACCTCCAAAGTCTTTAAATGCAGGAGAAATACAATGCTAGACAGGCCTGCTTTACATAGCTGCTAAGACTGAACAATTGCTCTTCAAGAGAGGGGTTTAATGAACGGTCAGTTGGTGCAGTCTCATGTTGGTTCATACTCCTACTTCAAAGACTACTGTCAAGGTGCAGCCAACTGCTTTGTTAATGGCTGTCCACAGTTGCCAGTATGTGTAACTATAAAAACATTAAGCATGATGGTTAGGAAACCTTTTATGGATTAACAAATGTTCCATGTTTAAGGTTGTAATAATATATTCAGCTTTTTTTTAAACCTACAAGCACTAGAGGCGTAAAGATAAACCGACATGATTCAGAAAATTGATACAATTGAGTTCAATTTGCAGCTAAATTGGTTGAAAACCACAGATCCAAACCAAATGCTTTTAAAAAGCAGTCTAAAATCAACATAGATGCTAACATTGTTTTTTTAAAGTGACATTCTTCTGACTTTTGCTGATGTCAGTGTTTTCCAGTGCCAAGGTTTTCTCTTTCACTTTCACTTTTTCTGTTACTGTTTTGATGTAACATAAAGTTACATTACACGCTGTTGGCACACTAAATAACACACACATATACAGTTGCAAGCAACTAGTTTAAAATCAGCTGGCAATGAATTATTAATACTCTAGTGCTGCTACTGTGCAGACAGAGACACAGTGAAGAAATATTGGATCTCCCTAAAATCATTAACAACCATTAGTCTTACAGTCAGACTACTAAACAATCAGACAGACAGAAATATAAGCAAGAAAGAAAGGGGAAAGTTTAGAGTGGGAGTGGGTAGAGATTCTGTCCAAGGAAGAAAATGGAGGAAAAGATTAAAGAAACAAAGAGAGAAAGCGCCGATAGACAGCATATGACAGAAATCAAAGGAGTTGAGAGGCATACAGACAGACAGACAGAAGGACTAGTTTTTATAATCATAGACAGCTCTGACCCCTCTAACCCTCAAAGGCAAGATCTAAAATACTGTACATCTCTTTGTATGTTTCAATGTTTTAAACGTTTTTATTTAACTGTTGGCCATGAGCTCATGATGCCTGTCCCTCCTTAAAAAGTTGTATTTGAAGTAACTTTATTCCCTGAGGCTCATGTTTTCTACAGTAGTCCTCTTCATACAGAAACACTCAAAAATAGAAACATACACTGAACAGAGAGAAAAAATGAAACAGATCTTCACAGACAGTTAAAGACAAAGGTTGAACAGGTGTACAGGCAGAGAACTATTCAGATATACAGTAGAGAGAGAGAGAATGAAAAGACAGACTGGGATTACCTAACAAAGTAGATTTAGTACGCAGGTTGATCCAAAATTACACAGAAAAGATAGAAAAGTGGTTAGAAACATTCATTTTAATATAAAAGTAATGAATAATAAACTCTGTGAACTGTCCAGACTCCAAATAAAAGAAAATGAGTGTGTTAAACTCTGCAAGTCAAGCATTCTCGTCTGAACGAAAAACTAAGGTGAAGCGTGAAATCAAAACCGCTAAACAAAAGAGTTGCATCACTGACAAAAACCGGTGCCAAACTGTGGCCTGATTTTGCCAACTTTTAGAAGTTGGGTTGTCATACCACAGTATAACAGAGTTCAATACTTGTGCTATGGCATAGATGTGAGTACAACCAGTGGAAAATACTGAACTTTAAGGGGATTTTGTTTTCAGTCTGGAACACTCCAAATACTGTAAGTCAAAATGGAGAGGCTTTGTCAACTACCAACTACTACCAAATGATGCAACTCTTTGATAGTGATTATTAGTGTCCCATGTGGAAAAGGCTGAAGAACACAAGAAAGTTCTTATACATTCATTAGTCATTTTTTTCAGAGACTGAAGTCTGGACTCCTGTGCTGAACCTGCTGCCACTGTGACCCAACTCCAGATAAGCAACAGAAAATGAATGGATGGATTGTCTTTTAATGTGACACACTATGTAAAAAGGATTAGTGTTGCAACTAACATTTACTGTCATTAATAAAGAAAAATGTCCATTATAATTTCCCAGAGCCAAGGGTAAGATCTCAAATTGTTACCTTTATCTGATAAACAAACCAAAATTAAAAGATAAAGTTCTTTTACTTTTGCAAGAACATCAAGAAAATCTAAGAACATGCTTGTAAGAATATGTCCTATTGCTTATTGATCATTATGTCATTATTACAAATCTATCTCATGATGAACTGCTATTTAAAGTAATGAAACCTATCCTATAAATGTGACTACAAGAAAAAGTAATGGCACTGTTTGCAATTTCCTGGGGTTCTGCATTAATTGGTCATGAAATGTAATCTGATCTTCACCAGAGTCACAAATATCAACAAACTCAATATTTCTAAGCTGATAAAACACAGCCATGATCTTTCATGTTTATTAAACAGATCAATTAAACCTACAAAGTGATGGCTAAAAAAAAGTAATGGAAACAGTGTTTTAATAACTGGTTGAACCCCCTTTGGCAACAATAACCTCAAGCAAGCGCTTCCTGTCGCTGTGGATTAGACCTGCAAAACATTCAGGAGGAATTTTGTACCATTCTTCCTGACAGCTGCTTCAGCTCAGCTATTATCTTAGGACATCTGGTGTGAACGGGGCTATTGAGGTCTTTCCACAGCATCTCTATTGGGTTGAGGTCTGGGCTCTGACTGGGCCGGTGAAGATCAGGTCACATTTCATGACCAATTTATGCAGAAAACCAGGACCCTGTGAACAGTGACATGACTTTTTCTTGCGACTGTATATAAAGCATGTGTCAGATGCTGTCATACAGTAATATTGATGAAGAAATCTGTGACCAATCTACAATTTCAGATTTTCTATATGTATTTTGTGTAGGATCACAGCTTGTGGCCCCGTGGTGGCCAGAACTTGAAGTGCTTTGAATAAAATTGTCCACCACAATTCACTTGTAAAGAAATAATCAAGTGTCTCATTCCATAACTTTTCCACATGGGAGTGGTTGGTATAATTGTGCTGTCATATCCTGTTTTCTGACAAGCAAAGTGAGTTTTGTCATGCATTGGTCTAACTGACTGACAGGCCACCAGCCACTCACGTGCCCAGGTAGTCCCACACCAGCCCCCCCATTGGCTGCTGAGAGGCAGCGAGGGGAGGGGCCTGTTTTCATGACTGCTGACAGTGCCACAGATGAAAAGCAAAGGGATTTCTGGGGTAGGATGAACTCAAAAACACAAACATACACACACTCACACAGATTCAAAATCACATGTTGTACATACATGTGAATAATGTACAATGAATCAATGAAAAATAATTGATGGCAGATTAATTAAAACAGAAGTGAAAAGAGAAAAGGGGAAGAAAGAAGGGAAAGGAAGAGGCAAGAGAGGGAGAAAGCTAATGGATTAGTAGTGTCTGGATGATTTTTCAATTCAATTTATTTGGCAATATACAAATAAATTGAATTAATATACAGTAGACTCCAACAGTGTAACTTGCAACAGCATCTGTTGATTAACCTATATTCTTCCTGCTCTCTCACCTCTCGAGTTCATGGATCTTTTTCTCCTTGTCATTCTTTTCATTTTCCATCTCCCTCAGGATCTCTAGAAGTCGTTCCACCTCGGACTGGGCTTTCCCAGCATCTTCTTTGTACCGGATCACTTCCTGCTCCAGGGAAGAGATGTTTTCAGAGAGTTCACTGTGGGCCTGGGACTCTGCTGCTGCACTCTGGGCCTGGAGCAAAAATGAATTATAAAAAATAAACCAAGCAATGGGTTTCAAGATGAGGTGACCACCAATTGATTGAAATGATAAGTTCAAATTTAAAAGTATGTGCCAGTAGCAACACAGGTGTTAAGGATACACTGAATGGACTCGATGAACACATGCCTTTTCACATTATTTCCAAGTATAATTGGTCTGTAGTTAAGAAAATTATATTCACATTCCAGTCTTTTGGGACCAGATTTGTATACTCTTATACTTTAGAAATAATGAATTCACCACACTAGGTAGACTGTGTACAATGTCTGAAAAAGAGATGCTTCAACATAATGAGGTCTCATCAGCTGTGATAAAACCAGTCATCTGAATTTTGGTGGGGGGCTAAAACAAACAGAGGACTAATAAAACATGACAAATAAATGAGGCCTTTTCTGTTCAAAACAACAGATATTACTTTGTTTTAATTTGCAATTAAAGGACAAAAAAATATCAAATTCAAAATCAATAAAACAAAAATGCAGTTGAAACACATAATAAACATTCCTTTAGTTTTAAAATTCAAAATATTCAAAATGAAGCTAAATATTTCAAAAGTATGAAGTTTAGAAAAATTCTGAAGATAAGCATGAATGTCCTTGAAGAGCTGAACATTTTGATACCTGAAATAGCTGAAGGTATTCTGAAGTTGAATTTTACCTTTCATTTGAATGGGAAAAATTTTGCTGAAAAATACTGAATAGTTTAGAAAGTATAGAGGTTATAAAAAAAGAAAAATACAAGCAGAAATGTCCTTAAAGAGATGAATATACCAGAATGGCTTTTGTAGCTGAAAGTATGCTGAAAAAATTAAGTGCCAAAAAATGTACGGAACAAACCAGAATAATAACTAGAAAAATGCATTTTCTGAAGAAAATGCGTATGGATGCTGAGTGCTGAAAGATCATCCCCTAAAAATGCTGAACATTTTGACACCTGAATGTTTTTTCAAGCTGAAGGTATGCTGAAGTAAAATTTCAAAATGAAGCTAAATATTTTGAAAGTATGAAGTTTAGAAAAATTCTGAATAAAACATGAATGTCCTTGAAGAGCTAAAGTTGAAATTTCCCATTCATTTGAATGGGCAAAAATTTTGCTGAAAAACACTAAATAGTTTAAAAAGCATAAAGGTTATAAAAAAGAAAAATAATAGCATAAATGTCCTTAAAAAGCTGAACATTTTGATACCTGAACAGTTTTCATAGCTGAAAGTATGCTGACAAAATGGAAAAGTGCCAAAAAATGGACGGAAGAAAGCTGAATAATAACTAGAGAAATACATTTCCTGTCAAAAATGCGTGTGAATGCAGTTTTCTGAAGGATCGCCCTGAAAATGCTGAACATTTTGACACCTGAAAGGCATACCTACCTGAAAGTATACTGAAGTACAATTTTCCCATTATTTTGAATGGGGGAAAATTTTCAAAATAAAGCTAAATATTTCAGAAGTGTGAATTGTAGAAAAATTCTGAGTCGAAGTGTCAGGTCCGCTCGGCGCGACCTGCCTCCCTTTTGCCTTTCTCTCTCCTGCTCTTTCCTTTTTGTGGGATCAGCACATCAGCTGTGTCGCTTGCTGTAATTAGTGACTCATGGGTTGTCACACACAGCTGAGGTGCATTACTGTAATGACTTCCCTACCTTAATTTAACCTCTGGCAGACGCTCCGTCGTCGCCAGAGCATTAACAGAACTTATACCTATATACCTAACTTACCTATACCTATAGTCGTGGTATGTGTCGCACGTCATCTTGATTTCCACGCTGACAGATCTTGTGCTGTGGAACTCATTTTGTACGTAGGTTACATGTTTTGTGTTATACGTCTCTAGACGTCCACGCTGGCAGTTCCTGTGCTGTAGATCTTGGTATGTTTTTTCCATTAGGTTAGCAAGATGTTATTTTGATATCCACACTGATAGTTCCTGTGCTGTGGATTTCCTTTTCATTCACCAGCCCTCCTGGTTTGTCTGTCTATTCACCTGTCCGTCCTGCTACTCCTACTCTAACTCGAACCAGGGTTCCTGCCGTTAGCCTGTCTGCTCATCTGTTCGTCCTGGTCTCCGCAACCATCTCTGTCCTACCCGGATTGTATATGTACATGGACTTGTTACTTTGTGTCTTTTTCCATTAAACACCCGTTTTACTAGCACCTGGGTCTGCAATCTTGAGTCCTACCACAGTTCTCCCTCACCTTCCTGGTGAGGGGGAACAAACCATAACATGAAGCATGAATGTCCTGGGAGAGCTGAACATTTTGATACCTGAAATAGCTGAAAGTTTGCTGATGTAGAATTTTCCCCATTCATTTAAATGGGGCAAAATTTTCAAAAAAAAAGCAACATTTCAGAAATACGAAGTGTAGAAAAATGTTGAAAAGAAGCATGAATGTTCTGGGAGAGCTGAACATTTTGATACCTGAAATAGCTGAAAGTTTGCTGATGTAGAATTTTCCCCATTCATTTAAATGGGGCAAAATTTTCAAAAAAAAAGCAACATTTCAGAAATACGAAGTGTAGAAAAATGTTGAAAAGAAGCATGAATGTTCTGGGAGAGCTGAACATTTTGATACCTGAAAGTATGCTGAAGTAGAATTTTCCCATTCATTTGAATGGGGCAAAACTTTCAAAATGAAGCTAAATTTTTCAAAGGTAGGAGGTGTTACTACATTCCTGAAGAGAAACATGAATATCCTTGAAAAGCTGAACATTTTGATACCTGAAATTATGCTGAATTAGAATTTTACCATTCAATAGAATGGGGCAAGATTTTCAAAAAAAAACTAAATATTTAAAAAGTATGAAGTCTAGAAAATTTCTGAATAGAAGCATGAATGTCCTTGAGGAGCTGAACATTTTGATACCTGAAAGTATGCTGAAGTAGAATATCCCCCATTCATTTCAGTGGGGCATGATTTTCAAAATTATGTGAAATGTTTCAAACGTATGAAGTTTAGAAAAATCCTGAAGAGAAGCATGAATGTCCTTGAGGAGCTGAACATTTTGATACCTGAAATAGCTGAAAGTATGCAGAAGAAGAATTTTCCCATTCATTTGAATGGGGCAACATTTTCAAAATAAAGCTAAATATTTCAAAAGTATGAAGTTTAGAAAAATTGTGAATACAAGCATGAATGTCCTTGAGAAGCTAAACATTTTGATACCTGAAATAGCTAAAAATATGCGGAAGTAAAATTTTCCCATTCATTTGAATGGGGCAAGATTTTCAAAATAAAGCTAAATATTAAGTATTAATGACGATCTGTCAAGAGGCCTCACTCCCTGTCTGTCAAATTCACTGCACTCTTCAATATTTTAAAACTGAGTTTAAAGTACACACATATTTGATTTAAGAAACAGAGGGCTCAAATATAATTTTCTTTTATCATGATAGAGAAATAGGTAGCTGTAATAAAAAGGGAGAATAAAAAGGGGGGGAAACAGTTTTTCACATGTTTTGTGGTGAATATTGACTGTGGGCTAAAACATATAGGCTCAATGATTATATAGCAAAATTTATGCAGTAATACTTCAATCTTGCCAGTAATGACAGTGGACAAAAGTTAAGTATCAAGTGGTACATTTTCTACATTATCTAAGCAGTGTGTTAATTCTCATAGATCTTTATTTGAGGTTGCAGTGCATTTTAAACTTAAGTTCCAAATTTACATGCACTGTTGTTGGATGTTCCACCCGAGATCAAGTGGTTTAATATGATTGACTTATGTTCTGCATCTTTCAGAGTGCCGCTGTTCTCACGTGTTTAATAAATTTAGCAGGATTACATGAGGAAATTGGCAGGTAAGATCTCATGTACTGTCCTCCAGTACTTTGAGGAAATGATGTGTACTGGACTATAAGACGTGTCACCGGGACTTCATGACTCTTTGATTGTTTGCTTCATGATTTTCTAACAGTGTTAGCTGAATAGGGACAAAGTTTCATTGCATAAATTACTGTATTGTAAGGAACAGATGAAGTACATGAACAGTTTGGTCAGAGGAGGGACAAGTGGTGTCCTCTTACAGTTAAAGACAGTAAAGTAGCTGGGGCTCCTGGATCGACCATGGTAAGAAAAAATACAGTATATTGTAGAGTTGAACATGAATTGTTGAATTAACCGTTGTTATAGTGCATGCTGGCCTTCACTCTCCCAGACTATGTGAAATTATTTTTAAAAGACAATTTACCTGAAATAATTGAAATGTGGCTTCTTGCTAGCTCAGTTAGCATTTATGTTTATTGTGTTCTTTTATGTTTTTGTACACTGATCATCTTGAGGATCATGGTTATATGATATTTTAGTTATATTTTAATTGTATTGCTTTTGTCTTCTCTCTTTATGTGTGGTTCAGCTTAATGTGACACAACAGATTCCAGATTGTTTTTCTTTACAGAGTTGTGATGTCACGTCATTTTTACTAGGCTCTTAAAGTCTTGATATCAAACTCTTTAACTCAGTAACAATAAACTTAATGTACCGACATATGAAATACAGAAACCTAGTGAATGGTTGAGAAACAGAAAGCAGAGAAGCTTTAGCCTTTGGAAATGGCTGATTGATTATCAAAATGGTTGTAGATTAATTTTTGTCAATTGCATAATTGTTTAATTAAGTGATTGTTTTAGTGTTTGGGACCCTGTAGTTCTACAATAGGGTCTGGCAGGGATGTAATAGTTGTTGTCTAGATTTTCATTTTCACAATGTGATATGGGATAAAAGGACAAATTATGACACGTACATTAGTGAGTGTACAGGGCGATGGGAAAGTGAATCAAGCAAACAAACACATGATACTGTACCTCTGTGTTCTCACTGTAATGTGATATGTGGACACACAGTGGTTATTTCTCATCATGTTATATTTTGAATCTTGTGACTAACTTCAATATAGGAGGACTCTCTTCAGGAGGTAACCTGGATATGAGGTAAACTTTACTGTCATTTGAACTTTTGGTTAGTTGTCACAACCTAATTAAATTAGATGCATTATTCAGATCAAGTAATATCTTCATGTAGATGCTAGTACATTCTTATGCTCATAACACACTTTTCTTCTTGTTGAAAATGGATGAATGGTAGTTTTTTAGTTTTTTAGTTTTTGTGTTTTTCTGCTCAGGTTGTGTTGACTCTCCCTGGGTTGCATGTATGGATATTAAAATCTCCTCTCACAGAAGTTACAGATTTGCCTGCACAGTGACAATGAATAGTACACTTCCTGGTTGGGTAAAGTCATTTGATTCATCTGCTTGATGCTGTTGCTGCTATTTTCCGGTGTATGCGTGTCTTGACAGGACCATGCCTGTGGCTAAAGAGACAGGTGTGGGTTTAAGGGTAGTCTATAGAGTGCTATTTTGGAATGTTAATACCAGTTTTGACATCCTGATAGGGAAATGAGCTTTTATGTTAGACTAGTACATAACCCTGGAAATAAGTTCACAATCTGTGTATAAATAATTTAACATGCCAACTTTTGTTTGTGTTTTCTCTTTGCAGGACAGAAAGGCCCAAAAGGATGGAGAGTCCAAAGTGAGAGCAGGAGATGTCATGTACATGAAGGTGCCCCGGAGGAGGAGAGACCCCCTTTGCGAAGGAGGCCCGTACATGATGTGAAAGACCCTGAGGACAGAGATGGCTTGGAGCTGATCCTGATTCGATAAGGAGAAGATGTGATCCAAGGGATTCCTTGGATGAGGAGGGAGTTCGAGTGAAGCTGATGCTCACCTTGATGACAATACTGATTATGACCCAGTTGTGTTCTCATCTATCTGACCCTCAGGAGGAGGGAGGGAGGGAGGTACTGAGGTCAGTCATGCTTAGAGAAGTCAAGAGAGAGACATTGCAGCCGGTGAGGATGGAAGAAAGCAGGTGCTGACAGAGTTAAACTGCAAGGAACTGAACTGATCAAAGGACAATGGACTTGGACATTATATTTTATATATTCATACTTCATTCATATATTCACTACTTAATTGTCACTGAGTATTTCCATCTCAGCTCATTTCTCAGCAGAAGATTTTTGGTTAGAGCTTTTATACAAGTAGTTTAGTTACATTACAAATGTTTGTGTTACAGTTATGTTATATTTTGAATTCAGTTTCAAGATTTATACTACGTCTGGTTCCTACAATCAGGTTCACTACAGGCCTTGTCAGTGATCGCCCAAAAAGAAGCCTGGAGACGATTTTCCCCAGCATTCGGCATCATTGGGGTTTTTAAGTCTCAAAAGAAAAGAATGGGGATTTTTATGAACAGTCTGAAAGTGCCGCTCCACATTTCCCTTCTTCAGAATAGTGATGGTAGATCAAGCAAATGCATTTCGAACATAACGTCGCGAAAAAAAAGTCCTCCCATTCCCCATGGAATGTTTTCGGTACGTTTTCGGTTTCTTACTTGATTCGGCTCCCCCACTCATTTTATACCCTTTAGGAGAAATTTATTCGAAGGCTGACAAGGTGGTTTGCTCACTGGAGTTTTGCAGTAGCTCGTGCGGTTGACTGTGCATGCACCCCTGTGTTAAAGTCTCAGGCCAACATATTTTGATTTTCCTCTTTGGTTTTGTTGTAGTTTGTTTTTTCCAGAGTTTGAAAGTTCTGTGGCCTTTGGACCACGGAAGGAGGGACTGTAGTGGTTTAAGTTACGTGTTAATATGGATTATGTAATAGAAGAGTCTTTATGGGTTCACTTTAAGTTCATGTGAGCTGAACAATGAGCTTATATAATTTGGCCAAGATGTTTCCTGTTTTTGGGTAATTCTCAGGGTGTTGTCTCCTAAAACTGGAGACAGGAAGCTAAGTTCAGAAATTGACGTAACAGCCTAAGAAAAGCGGCGGATAAAACAGTGAGGCTGAAGGCTGTGTAACTGCGAGCAAATAAAGGCTAGGATAGCTGGGTTAGGGAGTAGGAGAATTAAGGATGGTGCGGCAGTTGTAAGAGTGAGCTCAGACCCGGCCGGGCTCTGACTGACTGGACCCCTGACGGTACCACATGACCAACAATGACTGACTGGCGCTCTGACAATGTTCTTATAATACTTTATCTATTCCATTGCAGGAGGAGTGATTCTGTTCTCTGTTCCCTAACTACCAGATTACCTATTCAACTACTACTCTGGTCAGAATAATTGTAATATTAAATGATCATTTAAATTTGGATGATTTGTCTGAATTAATTTAGTCTGTATCACATTCTAGCCACGACAAGAGAGAAACAGTATTTCAATTTTTCTGTATGTCCTGCACATATAGTGAATTGACAATAAAAATCTTTGATCTTGATGAAGAGGTGAGTGAAGTAAAAACCAAGATAAATGGAGATGCCAAAAGTGAAAATGTGAGAAAGAGAACACAATTAAATAAAACAAAGAAACCGGCTTAGAGGTTAGAACAGCTGTGTGTGTTTCCCAGAAGCAAATGTTGCTCCTGGGACAGATTGACTTTGTGTCTGTGTGTGCACATGCCTTAAACCCGCAATGCATAAACTCTATTAGTTTTGGAAGTGCACAATAGTTTTTACAGGTCTTTATATGGAGAGGAAATGTCTGGGTGTCTGGCAATATTATAAGAAGATCTGGGTGGAGGAAGGAGAAATAGAGAAAGACAAATAAGAAAGGAAAAAAGGCATCATACACAGTGTCAAATGCAGAATGCCAGTCAATTCATGCACACAGATCAAGTTTTCACTCTTTCTTCTATGCATGGTAACAGAAAGAGACTAGGAAATAAACTCTGATGAGAGAAACACCAGAGATCCACTGACACCTTCATACACATTCTCACTCTCTCCATTTCACATACTTAGACACACACATATGCAGACCTACAAACACATACAGGGTGGGGTGGTGCTGCTGTCTTCTCCGATCTGTGAAAATGACTGTTAAGGCTGTCAGTAAGCTATCACACAGACACACACACACACAATTTTATGGGTTGCTTTGTGGGGAGAATATGTGACACTCAAACACAAACATACACATACATATGACAAACAAACAGTCATCTCTCTTGAAAAACAGCTACAGGAAAAAAGAAAGGGGAGAAGAGATGAGAGATTCTTCAGTATTAGGTCCTCAATTTCTGTTAAGCTGTTCTTCACCACCGAGATTTTTTTATTGGATGTGCTTTTGCTGGCCATCATCGAGCAGAGAAACGGTTTTAGAGCAGCTGTTTTGGTTCATAATTAGCCTAAATGTAGTGCCAAACTTTTGCAGTTTTTACAACCCTGAGCTCCCATTGTGAAAACATCTGATTTTTATATTATAATTATTCCATTATTAGTTCATTATTTTACTTACATTTTGGTCTTTTCAGCCAAAATCAATTGTATGAAAGATGTTGTTTCTGTCAACATCTCGCTAAGTGCTGAAGCATGTTCATAATGTGCTGCCTGTTGCTAACCTTTTTGAGCTGGTTCTCCAGTTTGACACACTCCTCTCTCTTCTGCTCCAGGCTGATTTCCAGAGTCTTCAGCCTGTTGTCCTTCTTCAGAGCTGAGGAGGCCAGAGAGGAGGCCTTCTCCTTCAGATCCAACACAGATGTCTGGAGGACAACAGAAAGACAACAGACCGATATGAATCAACACCATAACGTCTTACAGCTGAACAGTGGGGTTGATGTGCCCTTCAGCAGTACTGTCACTAACTCCCATTAAATGATTTTCCAATAGGATTTACAGCTAATGTTACAAAAAGCAAAACCCAAGTTGTAATAAACAGCAAACATAATTATCCTTTAGGGCCTTGCTATACAGATGGGAAGCTGACTCTTCCCCTTGTTCTTCAGAACCTTTTCCCATGACCTGTCTTTTCTCAATCTTCTAGCTCAACCCATCCATCCATGAAGTCTCTCACTCCCTTTCTTTTCTGGTCTTTTCCTCTTTTGGAAGGGGCAATGAAACAGAAAACAGTGGGAGCAGAAGGAGAGACACACAGACATGTAATTTCACCCTTGACTGGTAATACCAACTCATGGATCATCGTGTTTGACTGGGCTATGGTCAAAGAAACCTTGCTGCTTACTCTGATTATATTTAGGTACGCATATATAATGCTGTTGTCAGACAAACCACATCTGTCTTTAGCAGTGTAGAGAGGAATGCAGTTTTACTCTGTGGGTTTTCCCCAAGTATTTTTGAAATGATATAATGGACAGCAACAGGTTTTATGACCCCATAATCTGTAAAATTAGCTGAACAATCAGAAAAGGAAAAAAAGACTTTCCACTGTCGCCTGTTGGCTTCAGCAATGATCTCCTCATCAGACTCCAAATAACAAAACAAATAAGCATATTTTATCTTCCAGAAAGTCCTTTAAGTCTTCTTATAACACAAAATGCACCAAGTTCTGTGATGTCACAATGTAATTTTTCGTCTCAATACAGCACAGGACTAGCTACTTCTTTTATGATATGGACACTATGATTATAAAATAGAATGACTTTTAAACACTGGGCTGTTGCTTCCTGACAGTGTTGTGGTTAACTGTAACTTTCCTGCTCTGTTGTCTGACCACTGCAGGGTGAATTAAAAGAAGACAGTGTCTGAAAATGCTTTGTAATATCTGCCTCTCCCTCTTTACCTTTGCTGTGTGCCTCTTACATATTGTTGTCAAAGAAATCTTCTTCAGCATGGGAACCTTGGGAGGATCTGAGTTCTGCTCTACAGTGATGGATCAATCAAGTTTCCTTGACAGGGAAACTTGATTGAAGTTTTTCTGACTTCTAGCACAGATACGGATGCAAGTATGTTCTACCTTACGGTCAGCCAGGTCAGCTTGCAACTGGGAGACTTTCTCCCTCAACTCCTTTAGCTCCTTCTTGCTGGACTCCATCTCCTCCCCCTTTTCTCTTTCCTCCCTGTCTCGCTGCTCCTTTAGCCGCTCTATGATTCGCTCCTAAACACAGAAGAGGAGGAGGAGGAGGAGGAGGAGAGGAGGAAGAATAGATGGAGGTGAGAAGGATAGAAAGAGTCAAAAAGGGAAAGGTTAAGAGAGAGAAAGGTAGTCAAGGTAGAGAAGCAGATAGAAAGAGAGAAGCAGACAGTAAACAAAATTACATCTTGCATCCCAGCAGCAATTCCTCAATATCAAGTTTCTACACTAACAACAGTCACATTAAAGCTTATGTACACGGCAGCTTTGACAGGAGCCAACAGCCAACAGTGATTTTAGACACATAATACATTCTGGCCCAAGACGTAAAATTCACAACTGCTAAAACACTGTAGATGCTGTCCAGCAACTAGTTCAAGCAAAAAGTGCAAAAGTTCACACATACACAATCAGCGCAAAAAGCCCAAAGAGTGGGTGGCATAATTTGTCTTGTACTGTGAGCTTTAGATAGGTCTCTACTTTATCTTTATTTTTATGTTTTATCTTGCTTCCTAAGACACAGTCCTTTGTTTGTTTGCACGTTACTTCATCCTAAGGCACATTCCTTTGTTTGTTTGTGCGTTACTTCTTTAATTTCTGTTCTCTCAGCCTTATATTGTTTACTTGCCCTTTGCCATTGCCGTACATAAGGATATGTACATACATATTGAGAACCACTTTGTCCAACACACCTGGCCAATAAAGCTGATTCTAATTCTGATTCTGAAATAAGGGCATTTCATTAGATTATAATTTTAGGTAATGATTTGGGTTATGCAGGTTGATGTGATGGTTAAGGTTAGTGGTAGGGGCTAAGGAGAACTTTACATCAGTGAAGGTTCTCACCAGTGCAAATATACAAATATTTGCTTGTGTATGAGTTTTTTTTATAACGCTGTACTTTATATGCTTAATAAAACATAAAAAACAAACTTTAAGGAGCATGAAACATAAACAGGATGTTCTATGATGCATAAAACTGAAGCATGACAGTGGATAAAAACACAAAAGTTAATGTAATATTTCGATTCTGTTTTGAAATATAACACAATCCAAAACAATGTGTGTGACAGAGAAAATATTGAGAAATAAAGAAAGTAGGCAAGCGGTGGAAAGATACAGAAACAGAAAAAGACAGCAAGAGGAAAAGATATTCAGAGGCACCGACACAACGAAAATGAAAGGGGAAAAGCTTTGGAACATGAAGCAGGAGTCGACGGGTAGTGCTGGTACACCATCCTACCAACACTCACTCATCCAGCTCACACCCTGGATATTAGTCAATGTACAATTAGTTTCCTGAGTGTACACAACTGCGAAGGAGATCATGTCAGTGAGATGCCTGCACATAAGTGTACAAGAATATATTCTCATCAAACAGTAGTGTGCTGGTGTAAGTGTCACTGGTTGGTTTCCCAGAATCAGGGTCAAGTCCACCCTTGGAGCAGCCTGACAAATCATAAAACAGCTGGTTACTGGTTCAGTTCCCATGCTCAGATGGTTCAGAGCTGTTTCATGACTATGGTGCCTGAATGTTTAGCTCCACACAGTGACAGACAGTGTGGCTGTTTGTTCCTTTTCCATTCTATCTGAACCATTTGGCTGTGTGTTTTATGGTTACCAAACAGACTGTGATTGATTTCATAATGAAAAAGCCATTGTGATTATTGAATCACTTCCATTTATCCAGTCATTTTGTGTGGGTGGTCAGCACTTTAGCTCATAGTGGTTATATTAATGTAACCTTGCACAGGAGTTGACCTAAGTTTTACCAGCAACATGTGTTGTGTACCTTCTCAGCCAGAGCCTCCTCCAGTGTTCCCAGTGCTGTGTCAGTGTTAGAGGTGTCTGCCTGTAAAGACTTAACTCGGTCTTTCAGACCGCTCAGCTGTTTCTCTTTATCCCTCAGCTGATCCTGCAGGTTTTCTATCTGCAGAGAAAAAGGTTTTTGATGCATTATTCACCTGTTTTCCAGAGAAAAAAAATATTTTGTTGGCAAATCTATGGACTCAAACCCAGTCAAAATAAAGCATGGAATAGCTCAGTGTAACAAAAATGGATTTTTGAGAAGTTACAGTGCAAATTCAAAAAATGTAATTATTTTTAAAGCAACAATAATTCATGTATATGAATAAAGCTCAAATGCATATAAAACTGAAGCTTATACACCTTTATACAACTAAAATGTCATTACTCTTCAGCTGATGCTGATATACCTGTGATAGACTAATATCCTGTTGAGTCATCCTGTTTGTCCGCCAAGCTCAAGTTATAACAGCAACAAAAAATGATGATTTATTTGGTGTTTTTTTATCAAAATATGCCACTTAGATTGAATAAAGAAATTCCTTTTTATGTACATCTAAATAATTATCAATATCAGCCTTAAACCAACAATACTTGAAGCTCCTTTAATTATTTCACCTGCATTTTTGCTGCTTAGTGCTTATCGCTTATTACATAGAACCTAATTCGTCTCACAGCAAACAAAAAGACATTTAGAAATAACTGGTCCAAATTTGTCAGTTTCTCTCTTGTTTCCTCTCAAACTCATTTCATAGTAGATTAACCTTATGTTGAAAAACAAGCACAAAGGTCTGTGCCTACTCCACTGTCTTAAATACAAGGGATACATTCTTATAAAAGGAGATTTTCAAAACATGGAAAAGCCTGAAAGTCACTGTGCTCTCCAATCCTTTCCCCGAAGCTTTGCTAACTTTAACCTCTACTCTAAAGACACGCATTACTCTTCCTCCTCCATCTCTTTCTCCCCTTCTTCCTCCCTCCTCCTGTTTCTTCTCACAGTGATTTGATAGCAGATTACATTTTGTGTTAAAACAAAAATATGCAAAAATAACTGAAGCACTCACTTTTTCCCTAAGCCCACAATGGATGTAATTATGCGTGTGTGTGTGTGTGAGAGAGAGGAAGAGAAAGAGAGGGACAGAGAAACAAATAGATCATATGTGGAGATAAGGCACTATGTCAACTTTGTGGTCTTCATTAAGATAGATGGAACAAAAGGCTGAACAACACAGAAATAAGAGGAAAAAAGAGAGTGATGGAAAGCTTATATAATGTATTACTATGAGTGAACTTGGGAAGTAAATTTCTTCCTCTCTCTGTCTCTTCATCCTTTCTTTTGCCAAAGAGAATTGAAACCAAGCAAGTGACAACCTGTCACAAAAAAGAAAGTCAGATTGGTATGTAACCTTTGACTCCACTGCAGGTGACACACACACATTTACAATGCCACAGAGATTGTGAGTATGTACGTACAAACATTTCCAGCACCGCATTAATCAACTATTGACCTGACAGCTTGACTGACACCTCCTCTACCAGAGGCTGGTCCCCACAATGTGAGTGTGTTAACATGTTTCGGTTCCCATAATGTAAGTAAAACAAAGGCACACCCTACACACACACACACACACACACACAAACTTGATGTTGAGACTCTTTGATACTGCCTGCACTTCCTGAACCTGACAGAAACTGGATGGCTGGCACACACATACAGTATATAGTCTCACATATGAAATACGTGTGTACAAATGACAAATTCATTGCTTCAGTCTTGTTCTGTTTTAGTCCTGCAAAACATATGTGATAATGAACTACTCTTCATCTCTGTCATGATATTAGATAGAATACTACACTTAACAACAAAGAGAAGATGATGATGGGGAATAAGAAGACTATCTCACTCAGGGTATTTTAATTTATATACTAACTTAAAATGACAGTTAAAACCATGAAGAGAGAAAGATGAAACTGGAAACAGTAAAAGGTATTTTAGTTTTTCCACATGCAAAAAGATAAGATGTTAGGAAATCAGAAGTGTAGATTAGACAGAGGAATTAGCAGCATTTCCGTCTCCCTCTCACACAGTGCACTGTATTCTATTTGAAGATGGCAAAGGTCATCATTTATTGAACAAGAGGAACTCATTAGCATGCATCAGATTTCAAACCCACTCTGTCTCTCTCCTCCCCATCCCTGTCCTGCTTTATGTCTATGTGCTTGATTGTCTCTATCAAGTATCTGCTCACCGCTTTTCCTAAAAGTGACAACAGAAGGAGTGGGACAGATGGAGGGCTGAAAAGAATAAAGGAAGAGTTTGTATATTTATAACAAGAGACATAACAGGTAATGGCAAGACTCAAGTATATACTCATTTTATGTTTAAGTTTTATACCTAATTACATTACTCTTTAAACAGCTACCTGAACCTTTCTATTCATCCATCTATCTAAAAATTTGTTTTCTCACTCTGTGTCTCTCTGAAACCTCTTCACCAGCATATCTGACCAGCCTAATTCTTTTCAGGATGACAATGAATCAAGTGTATGTGGAGCCCACACAAATGATGATACTGAAAAGAAGGCAAAATAAGTAGAAAGCACCTGTAACTCTGGTTTCCTGTGTACTTCCAGCACCAGATGTATCCTTCTGCCTTTCTACTCACCTGTCTGTCTTTCTGTCTGGCTTTCCCAGCTTCTAATCTACATCTTGTCTTACAGCCCCATCTAGTGATTGTAGTATTACATGACAACATCATATTTGTGGCACATGCAGATTTCAGTCAGGGAGTGAAGAAGAGACAAGGAGTGAGGGAATAGTTGTGTATCCATACATGTCATCTTTCCTTTTTCCAAATAAGTTTCAAGTAATAACCACCATACACAACATTTAAACAAAAAATATATGGCCTGCTCAATTAAGGTTTTCACAGTTTTGCTGTTGCCATTATCAGTACAGTCTTCACAAAACAAAAATACTCCTTCGATGTGATGACATAATGGGTTTCACATCTCCAGGGATAATGGCACTGCTTTGCATGGAATAAAGACAAGAAGTGCTGTGTAGTTAGCATGAGCAGCAATAGCTAACATGGCTTAACAGAAAACAAAAATAGTGATGCCTATGGAAGCTAAAACAGGAAACCCAATTAGTATGACATCACAATAGCCCAATCACTGTTTTATTATAGGAAGTGTAGTTAAAAAAAACAACAACAATGCAAACAGCCACCAGGGATCATAGGAATTCCAGCTTTTCTTTTTCTGTGTATATGATTCAAGTCAGTTATCTTTGTATATGTTGGCATTCAACATTTTTTTTTATCACAAATGTATTCTAATCTGAGTTTTCCTACCTTCTTCTGCTGTACATTAACTTTGCGTTCCTTGACATCCAGCATGTCTTTGAGGTCGGTGATCTCGCCTGCCTGACTGCTTTTTTCATCTGTCAGCTCTGATATCTGCTGACTCTTTTTAGAAAGAAGAGATTCCTTTTCTTCCAGACGGAGCCGCAAGGCATCCACCTGTGCGCACACATATACAAATAAATATTCACAAACTGAATATCAATGGCACCATGTAGCAACAAGGTTATAAGTAAAAGAGTAGCTATACCTCAGTCTGTAGTATGGCAGCTCTCTGTTCCTTGGCAGTGAGCGATTCCTTGAGTACATCCACATGTTGTTTACTGTCAGAAAACTGGTTGTTCAGAGTGTCCAGTTTGGTCCTGAAAGCCAACAGTTCACTGTCCTTACGACTCAGCTCCTGCTTTGCCTGGTCCATCTGAGTAATATCCATATGAGGTGAAGCAAGAGGAGATGGAAAGAACAGCAATCCAGAGGATTACATGCTTATCATATTACAGTGTACTAAACTCCACTACAAGCTTGAATATGTGAACATTAGTTTTCGGGTGCATGTTAAGGTTTTAGCCATTACTCGTGACTTCATTGTAGAACTGTGAAAGAGGAAACAGCTGAATAATGAGTGCACAGAACTGATAGGCACAGTAATACATCTAAGAGATAAACTGTAAAAATATACTATATAAATTACAATATATCACTCAATTCCTACTTTATAGCTTTTTATAAAGTAGAAACTCTCTCATTCACATCTGTAGAGCTTTACATACTAACAACCACAGCCTGCTATTGTTAGTCAGCAATTAGAGTCATTATACCAACTCACTGTTCACTGCCTTCTCAAGGGTACATACTGATACTGTATTTCTTCAAACTCTATTAGGGACAAGTCTTGTTTTCTAATGTCTTTTCAGTTAGATAAGTCAGTGAAGTACTAGGCTCTTTTGCTCTGTACTTCTCAGTTGCCCTTACATTTCCATAAGTGGCACAATTAACTTCCTTTGACATTTGAACAGGGTGAACCTGACATAAAAAGAATAGACACAAACAACACATCCTATACAAGCCTCAGCAGATCCCTCAGGAAACTGATACCAACCATTATGAGAAAAACCTCATGCAAAGAGAAAGACAAGCAGGTTACAGTAGCACTGCACAGCTGAATTCTCAGTTTACAAGTCTATAATTGTACAGTTCAGACTGCTAGAAACAACTATTACTGTCAAAAGCCACTGATCACCAGCAGAATGGGAAGCAAAGACCTCTTTGTCACTCGTTGTTTTGGCCAGAAATTAACTTGACATAAACTAAGTTTCCATTAGGGCAGACAATAGCTGCGTGCCAAATAAATGTTTGCAACTCAAGCAGCTTTGTTACTTTAACTCTGGTTATTCACAAAAACTAGTATTCATCATACATGTTAATATAAAACCTTAATTCAAATGCAAAGGTCAAATGCAATAGTGTGAAGAACACTGGTCTCAGTTTTATCCAATTATGCAGGTACAGCTGACAGTAAATGGTTTGAGACTATTGCTTTTACTAGTTGTTGGAATATTTGACAGTAGCACCTCTAGTGAAACTCAAAGGAGAAAAATGAAGTGATGGTATCTTTTATAAAGTACCAACTGGAATGGATTTTCTACTGTGTTCTCTATATCTCAAAATGAAAAGTTGTCATATTGTTTCAGCTGCATAGTATGACTGGCATTTGAGAGTACAGTTGCTTACTGCTGTTTGAACACACTGGTCACACTACTGGGCTTTTACTGGGACTCTATTCAAGCAGCAGCCATTGGCCAGTCAGCCTGAGAGACAAAACCAAGAAAGAAAGGGTAAGAAAGAGCAAACAGACACAGAGGTGTGTCTCTTACTGCAGACACCTCCCGCTGAAGCTCATTGGCTCGTTGCATTAGCTCCTCCTTCTCTGATTGGCTGTGAGTTAGCTCTTCCTTCAGCTGCTCAACCTTGACAGGAGAGGATGGCGTCACCATGACCACAACAAATCAGCTGCCACTATCACTGACCACTGACCAGACACGGCATATCCTACACCTGACATGCTGAGATGTACAGCCTGTCCTCATCACAACTACCATTATGAGTATGAGTATGTGACAGCAAGAAGTGCAGTTTTCTTGTCTATGCAAACACTGTCACATGGGTCAGTGCACATATAAAAACTTAGCATGATTTAGTTTTTCATATATAACAAGTCAATTAAACCAAAGTGAATGTAGACAATTAAAACTGTATTGATATTGACAGACAGTAATGTAATCCTTACATGATTCAAAATCAAGTGTTATTGATATAGCAGTTATTATTGTATTATGGACACTGTAATTATAATCAGAAAACACTCTTCTCAGCGGCTTTGTGTATACTTATAAAGATGTCAAATATTGCTTTGTGAGCCCATCATAGAAATCTTTCTTAAGATGTTCCCTATATATATATATATATACCAGTCAGTTCACACAAACCAGTAGTTATGCTGGTTTATAGTTTCTCTTAATTAATAAATTACATGATGGCTTGTCATTGTTAAAACTGTGATTTGGAAATGCAACCCAAATGATGTCAAAAGGTGTTGCAGTACACCTTTTGTTCTTGACACCAAAGTTGTATTTGTTTAATTTCCAACAAGCTAGAAATCGTTCAAAACACAAAGAGGAAAAAATGTACAGACAAGTAGATATGGGTGCATGTTAGTGTGTTCCTGTGCATGTATTTTTCACCTTGTTTTTCATGAACTTGGAGTGGGATCTGTAGACCTCCATCTGCTTGATCTCCTCCTCCCTCTCCTCGCTGCTCAGAGCTCCATTGGACTTGAGCATGCTCACTTCCTCCTCTAGCTCTCTCATACCACGCTCTAGGGAGCTGATCTTTGCATCCTGGTGGGACATCAACAAACTCATGTTAAGAGATTCACTGCCTCACTGTAGTTGGGTCATAAGAAAAAAAATCTAATATAATCCTTTTGTATTTCTGAATTATGTGCAGAGCTGAAAAGCAAATAAATAAGTCTAATTAAGAATCTTCAATATTAGCAATATCCAAACTGCTACCTGAATCCAAACTGGCTGGTTTATAGATGCAGTGTAAACATGAACAATGTGAGGTGGATGACAATGCTGCAGCCTTTAATTATCCAGATTTGTGTGTAAGAAAGTGAGGACCAGCCAAAACGTCCTAACTTTTCACAAAAGCTCTTGCTCTCAAGGCATAAACTCAAATTCGTCTTCACAAAGATAGTTTTACATGTAAACACAGACACACACACACACACACACACACACACACACAAATTATCAATTCATTACCTTCATTTCAATGACTGTCTGCAGGGCTTTTGTCTTTGTTGACTCTGGAGCTGCTTCGTATCTCCTGTGCAGCTCCTGAGAGACACACACACTATGAAGGTCAGCAGATGACAGAGAGAGACACAAAGAGGGATGGAGAGAGGGAGGAGAAGGTCTTTGAACAGGAGAGGAGGCGACAGCAGCTGATGGAAGGGGATGAAGGGAGGGCTGGATCGTGGGTGTAGGCCATGGAGAGGAAGCAGGAAAGGATAGTGAGTGCTGGAAGGAAGGATGGATTGAGGAAGTGACAACAAAAGCAGGAGAGTGTAGACGACTAGAGGAGGGGAGGGCGACCGCATGAAAAGACTGGTGATGGAAAGGAGGGGAAGGTGAAGAAAAGGAGGGAAAGGAATGCAGTAGGTGATGGTGTGAGGGGGAGAAAGGAGGAGAGAGTTGGAAAGGGGAGACACATGGAAA